CCAAACGCGTTTGGTGTGTACCCGGCATAAGAGTCCACTGTCTCAATGTTTTTGCCCTGGATGTTCACCGGTGCTGTAGGGGGTGGCTTCCTCCTGAGGTCTATGACCATTTCCTTTGTCTTTCTGGCATTGATTTGGAGAGCATTGGTCTCACACCAKCCAACAAAGTCACTGATGACCCCCCTGTATTCCTCATCATTCCCRTCTGATACACATCCAATGATGGCCGTATCATCCGAGAACTTCTGAAGGTGGCAGTGGTCCGAGTTGTACCTGAAGTCTGATGAGTACAGACTGCACAGAAAGGGTTAAAGGACCATACCCTGTGGTGCCCATGTGCTGCAGACTACCACATCAGACACACAGTCGCGGAGCCGCACATACTGTGGTCTGTTGGTGAGGTAGTCCATGGTCCATGCTGTCAGCTGCCTGTCCACTCTGGCTCCCTCCAGCTTCCCTCTCAGCAGAGCAGGCTGGATGGTGTTGAAAGCACTGGAGAAGTCAAAGAACATGACTCTCAGTGTTTCCTGCCTGCTCTAGGTGAGAAAGACATCGGTGCTGCAGGTAAATGACGGCGTCCTCCACCCCCGTTGCAGGGCTGGTAGGCCAACTACAGGGGGTCCAGTGCTGGGCTCACCACAGGATGAAGATGTTGCAGGATGAGCCTCTCCATGGTCTTCATCAGATGAGAAGTCAGAGCCACCGGTCTGTTGTGGCTGGGCTCCCTGGGGTGTGATCTTTGGTACTGAAACCATGCAGGAAGCCTTCCACACATCAGGGACCCTCTCCAGACTCAGGCTCAGGTTGAAGATGTGCAGGTCCACCTGACAGAGCAGGTCTGCACAGTCTCTGAGCAGTCTGGGGCTGATTACATCCGGTCCTGCTGCCTTCCTGATCTTTATTTTCCTGAGCTGACTTCTCACCTGATGAGCTRTGAGGTGAATGTGAGGCTGGGTTGGAGTGGTAGGTGGGGCTGGTTCTGTTGTGGGTGGGGGTGAGGAGAGCGCAGGAAGCGGAAAGTGGGGGAGCAGCAAATGGTGGGGGCTTGTTGGGAGCTATGGGGTGGAGGAAGTGGTCAACAGGCCAGAGTTAAATCTATTGAAAAACAAATTCAAAGTCATTAGCCCACCCGCGATCTGTAGGCCCTGTGGTTCATCCATTGTCCTTGAAGTGGCCAGAGATTTTATTCGTATTTCTCCAGACCTCTCGAACTTTGTTTTGTTGGAGCTGCTCCTCCATCTTCTTCCTGAAGCTTTCCTTGCCACTCCAGATCTTGTATTTGAGATCCTTCTGCACTCTCCTCAGTTCCTCTTTGTTGCCAGATCTGAAGGCCCTCTTCTTCTCTTTCAGCAGGGCCTTCAGCTCTGGACCTCTGGAMCAACTTCACCCATGTAGGGTTTTTGGGGTGCAGGTGTGTTATAAGAGTAAAACTTTTACATTTCTATTTGCCATAACCACCTGGGCCCCAATTTTATTGTACATCTTTGACATTCACTCATGACATTCACATAAAGGAACTTGGGGTGGGCACTCATGGCTATAGGTGGCTGGATGGTACCATTCTCACCTCCTGTGCCTGTGCCCACCCCCCAAGGTTTGCAYDTAGACACTTAGGGTTTTGGGTTAGAGTAGTGGTGGAGGGGAAACTGGCACCACGCCAGCCTCTGTCTCTTCTTCTTTCCCTTTTTAATTGCTCTATAGAACAACATGCACCAACAATACATCTGGGGGTGGGGGTGTATGTGTCAGGGTCTTTACACCCCTCCCGTTCCCCGACTGCCATTTGGGGAGGGGAGTCCTGAAGAAGGGTAGGCCACTTGGTGTGGTCCTGGGCTGCCGGTGGGCTCAGGGCTTGGAGGATTGCTGGAGTTGGGGCTGGCTCTCCATCCTACCTGGTGCTGCTTGAACTCCTAGAATGTGGCTCCTTGTTGCTATGGATGGCCCGCTGGTCGGGGTGGCTGCCGGGGGTCCGGTGGGTGGTTGGCTGGGATTGTGCACTTGGCTGTTGGCGGTGGGGGGGAGGGTTTGGTCATGGGCGTGGCTTCTCTGCGGCGGGGGGCTGGCTGGGCTGAGCCTCGGCTGTATGCTCCTCTCCACCCCAGAATGATTGGGTCTACCCACTGGGTTCGGGTGTGTGCTGCCTCCTGTAGAGGGTGGGTGCATGTCCTGTACCTAGGGGGTATAGAGTGTGTATCGGGAGGATGAGTGGATTGTGGCGGCGTCCTTTTTGTATGTCTTTGAATGAGTGGGGGTGAGGATGAGTGTGGGATGGTGCGATTGTGTGTGTGTATGTTTAGATATTTGTCAGGCTGGGGTTTGGRCCGCCTCCCCCCTTGCTGGTTTGTCTGAGGGCCCACTGCCACACTGGCCCCTGGTGGGGTGTGCCGTTGCCTGCTGGCATCTTGGGGTCTGGGGCTGGGCGCTCGGGCGGGTGCTGRCCTGGCCTGGCAACAGCCTGCTTGGACTCAGGTCCTCTGACCCTGCAGGGCTCTGGCCTGGAGGGGAGGGTGCACCCTGGGGGCCTGGACCTCTATGCCMTCGCCTGGATCTGCTCTTGTGTGGCAGTTGCTGGTGGGGCCCATGAGTTTGTCGCTGCTGGCCCCAGGAGTTTACTGCGTGCGGTCACTCGAGGGTCTCTCCCGGTTCTCCCCTATGGTCCAAGCTGGGGGTGGGTGGATCYTCCTGTGCATGTGCCTCTGGAGGCTCTGTTCTTGGTTCGTTGGGCTCTGGTATGCCCTGTCTGMCTCGGGTCTTGGGGGTTGGGTCTSTGGGTCTCCACAGTCACTATTAAATGTTCSATTGGAGAAATTTTGCATGTACACACATGTTCACAAATACTCACAAACAGGTGTTCTGATCC